ATGTGCCTCTGGGAGGTCATGTGGGCTGAAGCTGCCGCTGCTGCCGCTGCTGCAAATGTGGCCCGTGCTGCTGCTGCCACTGCTGCTGGTGATGCTTCTGCTGCTGCTGCTTCTGTTGGGGCTGCTGCTGTTTTCGAGGATTGTGGGAAGAGTGTGGGTAGTGCTGAGAAAGAGGCAGATGCCGAGGCAGGGGAGGATTGCGAGTGGGAGAAGGTAGAAGCGGTTGAGGGAGAGGAGAAGAGCCATGGGGAAGGCGAGCACGTGGGGGAGGAGGACAGGGAGAGGGATGATGAGACTGCCCCTCTGCTGGACAGCGGATGGGGTGCTGCTTTTGGCTGGGCAGGCGTTGACAGGAGCCCCACAAGCACTGACGCCACTGCCGCCATTAGCACCAGCACCAACAGCAACACCAACTCCAGGACCAAGACTACCAACAGCGGCAATAGTAACAGCGACAGTGTTGGTAACAAAGTTACTGGCGGAGTCAGCAGCAGCAGGAGGAAGAAGGCGTGGCAGGAGTGCCGGGCGCGGCCGGACTTCCTGCTCTTTGTGGTGGCGGCCATCCTGGTGAGCTGCAGGGAGCAGGTGCTGCAGTGCCAGGGGCTGGACGAGGTGCTGCTGCTGTGCAACAGCCTGTCGGGGCAGCTGGACGTGTGGGACCTCATGGATTGTGCAAGACAGCTATCCTCCCGTCTTCCCTAAAGCAGGGTTGGGTTCTCCTGCTTCTGGTGAGCCGCAGGGATCACGTGCTGTGCTGCCCGGGCCTGGACGAGGTGCTCCAGCCTCTCCGGCCAAGTAGAAGTGAGGGAGCTCATGCACTGCGCCCGGCAGCTGGCTGCTCGCCTGCCATGCGAGGGGGTGAGTTCGTCTGCTGCTGGTGAGCCGCAGGGAGCAGATGCTGCAGTGAGGGGGTGCCCAGAGCATGTGCTGCAGTGCCAGGGGCTGGTTGACGCGCTGCTGCTATGCCAGAGCCTGTCGACAGGCACCTTGTCCAGGCACCTTGTCCAGGCACCTTGTCCAGGCACCTTGTCCAGGCACCTTGATGTGTGGGACGGTACCTCATGGATTGCGCCCGCCACCTATGTAGCTTCCTGTCTGCCCTGATGTGCTGGCTGTGCCCTGTCTGCCCGCCAGTTGCTGTGATGCCCATTACCGTTTGCCTGCCATGCTGCAGAGCAGCATCAAGCCCTCGTCACCATCCTTCCCCTCCATCCTCCTCTCTATCAGAGACAGGGGCCTTCCTCCATGCTCATCCACTGTTTCCTGGGCAACCTTTTTTCTTGGAAGCCTCTAATCTGGGCTTCCCGTTGCTGTGTGCGCTTCCTGTGCTGGGAGGTGCCGCAACCCTTTCTGGCTGTACATATGGTAGAAATACGGCTTGGGCTTTTGTCCCATTTTGTTCTCTTGTCGTTTGAGCATGCTATACTGCAATCTGCAAATTGGTGCTATCGCCCAAAAAAGGGTACAACCCCCCTGAAAATTTTCAATGCACACAGAGCTGAGCACTCCTGTCAAGTACTAGCTATTTACATTCCCTAGTACATACTAGAACATCAACCATCAGTAGGTGGTACATGTGGTTAGGTCCTGCGCCGGCAAATCACCCGCAGCGGTAGCCCCTGCCCTTGCACGAGTTGGTGCGGATGCAGCGCTTGGGCCGACGACACGGGCTGGGCTTGCACGGGTTCCTCTGGTTCTTGCATGCTGGGGGCCTGCTGACCGGGGGGGTGGTTCCTCCACCGCCTCCCCCTCCTGGGTTGCTGCCACCTGTGAGATTCATGGGAGGGCATAAGTGTGCAGGAAAGCATGCGTTAGCGGCACGGGCTGGGCTTGCATGGGTTCCTCTGGTTCTTGCATGCTGCTGGGCTGGGGGCTTGCTGACAGGGGGGGTGGTTCCTTCCGTCTGCCTCTTGCTCCTCCTCCTGGCGCACTGCCATCTGTAAGATTCAGGGGGTTATAGGTGAGCAGGAAAGCATGTGTTGGTGGTGCGGGCTGGGTTTGCACGGGTTTCTCTGGTTCGTGCATGCGCGGGGGGGGTGTGGGTGGGGTGGGGGTTGCTGTCGGGGAGGGTGGTTCCTCCAACTCCTCCCCCTCCTGGGTTACTGCCACCTGCAATGTGCCACCAGCTCTTGATAGAAGGGCTGAGGGATCGACGTATCTGAGATCCCTGAGAATGAGGCACAACCACGAGCACAAGGCATGCTCAATAAAGTGCGCATACACGGTACCGTGCTTCTGCTGGTAGATGAGGAGCCCGATCAAACACGAGTAAGCTAAGCACTTACCGAGGCACTTCAACTCCAGCTTCTGTCCGTGCTGGCTTGCAGCGTCAGTCACCACAGGTGCGCACACCCCCTGCGCCCCACACGGCTGCTGCACACCAATCCCCGCCCCGCAGATGGCACACTCCGTTGCGCTCCTCTGAGTCGCGACCCCGTCCGTGCGGCACCGGCTGCTGTCGCTGAAGCAGTTGTGGGAGGAGGAGCATGCGGAGTAGGCCGCTTGAGACGCAGGGAAGGCGCCGGTGAGAAAGTTGCCGTTGAGAAAGAGGAACTTGAGAGAGGAGCCAGAGAAGGGAGGGACGACTCCCGAGAGAAAGTTTTTGGTGAGAAGACTGAGGATGGGGGGGGGTGAGGTTGGTAATGGGGGGGGGGGGGTGAGGTTGGTAATGGGGGGGGGGGGTGAGGTTGGTAATGGGGGGGGGGGTGAGGTTGGTAATGGGGGGGGGGTGAGGTTGGTAATGGGGGGGGGGGGTGAGGTTGGTAATGGGGGGGGGGGGGCGAGGGAGGGGTATGGGAGGAACTTGAGAGAGGAGCCGGAGAAGGGAGGGAAGGGGAGAGTGGGGCATAAGAGGGGCATACGAGAGAGTGGTAGGAGTAGGTAGGGGAGACTGCCAGCAAAATATGGTTTTACAGAAATGAGGAGCAAAGACGAGAGGCCGCTTGAGCCTCTGCACATGAACACACAACCCAGATGAAAGTAGTTAGAAGATGGTGGCTTACAGATTGTTTAAGATTGGCATGTTGAGAAGTGACGCTGGGATGGGGCCATAGAGGTAGTTATCGCACAGGCTCCTGTAGGGTGTTTGTGCAAGCAGAGGCAGGTGTTGAGGATAGTGGCGCGTGCGGGGATGAGGGACGTGGGAAGCAACATTTCTAGAGAAAACAGTGCAAGGATGACCGGATTAATTATGAAAGAAAGTTCACTTTACACTAAGTTAAAGACGCGGGAATTGCGAGTTCGGATAATAGGATTCAAGAGTGAGTAGTTGACATGGTTTAGGGGTTAAAGCTCACAGCGTTTTGAGGTTGGGCAGGGCGAGCAGGTTGCCAACGAAGTCGGAGAGGCGCGCGTGGAAGGAGTTGTTGTTCATCTCGCTGGAACAAAGGACACGTGGCAGAGGAACACGTGGCAGAGGAACACGTGGCAGAGGAACACGTGGCAGAGGAACACGTGGCAGAGGTACACGTGGCAGTGAGACGAAGCAAAGGGAATGGAGAGGTTTAAGATGCCCCTGGGATGAGAAGTGAGAAGTCAGCAGGGCTCTGGCAGAGAGGAGCAGTGTGCATAGACGGGGTTACCAGCTGTGGAGGGTGGAAAGGCCGATCACCGCCCCTTAATTGGTGGGATGCCTGAGCTCTTACATGGCGGTGAGTGTAACGAGGGTCGCTATCTGGGGCGGAATGGACCCCTGGAGGTTGAGATTGGGCAGAATTCTGCAGCGAGCGTTGGGTGGTTGGGTGGGTGGATGGGTGGATGGGCACACAGTACGGACGAGGCTAGGGCACATGAAGAGCAAAATAAGAATCAACCGTATAACGAGATCGGAATCAACCAAAGCCAAGAGTTTAACTTCGTCGCCATGTGCCATGTCATCCCATAGTGCAGCCACGTGTCGCACTCACATTGCCTCGGGATTGCCGTCTTCATCACACGTGAGTCCCGTCCATCCCGCCGTGACGCCCGGCTCCGCGTCCGTCGGCAGGCACGCCTGCCCCGCCGCCCACGACGCGTCGGTCAGGCCGACAGACGACTTGAACGCGAGAAGCGCCGTTTCCGTCGCAGGGCTCAGGGAAATCGTCGCCTCGGCGACACCGCCGCTGTCACACATTGTCACTACGATGCAGATGAGAACCGCGGCGAAGAGAGTTCTCATGCTGAGCCGAGGTCGCGGGTTTTCTGTATTGACTGGGCTGACGTCAGTGAAGTAAGTGAAGTCGCGGTGCGTGATGGTACGAATCAGGGTTTGAGTCCACCTTGAAGCAAGGTATGCAAGATTGAAGAGTCGCTGAGATATAGTTCGAAACGACACCGGCTGATGCGCTCGAGCGAATCGAGCCTCTTCGATGGCAAAACGACCGGGACAGTACCAATGTGAGTAATGGCGGAGACTGTTGAATGGTATAAATATGGTTTCTGCGTGAGGGGCTGATCAATTTGCAAATGCGCGCTTGGAGGATTGGAGAAATGCAATTTATGCCCCCCACAATTATCGAGCCGCGTTCCAACATCAAAGATCAGACAGCGTGCCACCGTGGGTTGCGGTGAAGGTTTCCAGCCCAGAGACGTTCGGGCTGGAACCGACCTATCAGAAAAGCGATGGCAGATCAGTGCGAGTTTCCTTGACGTGAGCTAAGTGTTGGTGCGGAAAGTACGTTTGGGGGCTCCTACACCTCCACAGCTGCACCTGCTAAGTGCTCTGCCAAAGGCCAGGCTCAACTCACGTTTCCTGGGAATTGGGCAAGTTACAGCGGAGATGGGCGCTTCGGTTCCAGTTTGCGTAGGTGGACCTTCCCTGCACGGGAGGCAACATTTGGGTGGGGCTCCTCTGCCAGGTGGAGGGAACAGATTGGTGCAACGCGTACTCGCCAAGAGCTTTAGAGCTCCAGAAAATTGGAGCCCGTAACATCCGCACTTGTATCAAAATCTCCGATTTCTATTTCCTTGAATAGCTTCAGCATTTGTGACCCTCACAAAACTAGCATTAGATGCAATATCGATACCACAAGAGCGCTGCAGCTACGTGATAATATTTATTTCGACTGCATTCACAAATCAGCACAACTTCATTGCCACATGGCTTGTCTCTGATCTGAACACCCACCCAGTGCGGCTTGCAAATCATTTCTTCAACACAGTTTTCTTCTCCGCCCTGCGCTTGCGCTTCTCCGCTTTACTCCTGTGAAGCTTCTCAGCAATCACAGCATTCCGCCCCTTAGCCAACCTTTCCCTTATCTCCCTCACCTTCTCGGCCATACCAGTGGCATCCCCCCCATCCATGGAGGCTTGGGATGAGGCTAGGAGGGACTGGAGGGGACAACGCAAGCCAAAGGGGGAAACAATACAGTGGGGTGGGGATATAAGACAAGGATGCCGTTTGGAAGAGAAGGCAGAAACTGGTAAGCTAAGTTAAAGAGAAACATTTCTATGCATTCCTGAACCTCATCCACACAACTCCACTCACCCATCCTCCCTCATTTCTCCTCCCCCCATCGGCACACATAGAGAAATACACACACCCATGGCAATGGCTCACCTTGATGTGAGATATAGCTGCCAAGTTGCATCCAACGGTTGCTACTGCGTCCTGCCAACCATAGCACAAACCACCGCATCATGCCATGACATAGAAGAAACCACCACATCATGCCATGCCATAGAAGAAACCACCACATCATGCCATGCCATAATAGAAACCACCACATCATGCCATGCCATAGAAGAAACCACCACATCATGCCATGCCAAAGTAGAAACCACCACATCATGCCATGCCATAGAAGAAACCACCACATCATGCCATGCCATAGAAGAAACCACCACATCATGCCATGCCATAGAAGAAACCACCACATCATGCCATGCCATAGAAGAAACCACCACATCATGCCATGCACACAGTCGCATAGATTGTCAGAACAACCATCAGCATTTCGTCCCTTTCCACGCCCCAACAAAGCCCACCCTCATCATGCCATGCCATGCGATTCCATCGACGCGAGGTACCTACCTTGGGTGAGGCACATAAGAGTTCGTGCACGGCAGCCGGTAACGGGCGTGCAGTAGGGTGGCAACGAGCTGCAAGTGAACGACCACCCCACGCCCAGGCAGCCAAAGCCGTACCTAGAATGAAGAAGCCCTTAGCAGCATGTGCACAGCAGCAAGCAGCGGGTGGGCGGTGGGGTTGGCAACCCACGCCCGGGCAGCCAAAGCCATACCTTGAGTGATCCTCTCAGCAGCGTGTGCACGGCTGCCAGTAGCGGGCGGGCAGTGGGCGTGGCAATGAGCTGTGAGTGCAGCCCTTTCACGCCCTTTCACGCCCTTGCACACCACACAGGCATCAAATTGCCCCCCATCAGACAGCCCAAAGCACACCTTGAGTGACACTCTCAGCAGCGTGTGCACGGCAGCCAGGAGCGGGCGGGCAGTGGGGGTGGCGATTAGCTGCGAGTGGTGGATGCGGACGAGAGACACCAACGCGCGGGCAGCAAACTCCAGCTGGGGCAGTGGGTGGTGCAGCCAGTGCGGGGCGAAGTGGAGAATCCTGAGAGCCACTGTGAAGGGAAGCACCTGACAAGGGAGCAAGGGGAGAAAGGGGGGAGGGGGGCGGGAGAGGAGGGCTCAGGTGAAGACGCAATAGTGAGGGGCGGATGGCTGTGTTTTGAGGCGCCTAGGGCAGCGGATGGTGCAGCCAGTGCAGGGCGAAGTGCGGGGCGAAGTGCAGAATTCTGAGGGCCACTGCACTGTGAACGGAAGCACCTGAAAGGGGAGGGTTGGGAGGCGGACATGTTTTGAGACGCCTCATGACTGACTCCAGCAGCGGCTGGTGCGGCCAGTGCAGAGCCAAGTGGGGATTGCTTGAGTTGGCTCATAGGGTGGGGGCGTGGGGTGGGGATTGAAAGCACTTAGACCGAAGGCGGCAAGGGAATGCTGGAAGAAAGAAAGCGTAGTGATGGAAAGATGGATGGACTTGTGATTGTTACCCCTTTCCTCACTGGCGAATAGTTTTGAGGCGCCTCAAAACTAAACTCAGTGATGGAAAGATGGATGGACTTGTGATTGTTACCCCTTTCCTGACTGGCGAAAGCACAGGGCACCAAGGCTGAAGCGGAATGGGCGTGGAGCAGATACCGTGCTTGCGTCCTCATGTTTCTCCAAAGCCCTTTCAACCCTTTTGAGTTAACTCAAAAAGGGAATGAGTCGACTCGGAAGGCGAATGGGCGCGGAGCAGAAACCGTGCTTCTGCTGCTGGAGCAAGCGTGCCCAAAGCCAAAGCCCAAAGCGTGCTTCTGCTGCTGGAGCAAGCGTGCCCATGTTTCCCCAAAGCCATGTCAGCCCTTCACTCACCAGCAGCGCTCTCTCGAGCTCGGACGGCTTTACGCTAGCGAGTGCACGCAGCACAAAGACGGCGGGGGAATGGCCAGGAGCCACCAGGAGCAGTGCTTGTAAGCCCATTTCCCCCTACATCAACTCACAATCCCACCCCCAACCCACCAGCAGCGCTTGCTCGAGCTCAGAGGGCTTGACGCTGGCGAGCGCACGCAGCACAAAGCCGGCGGGGGAATGGCCAAGGAGCAGCACGTTGGGCTGGAAGGAGGGCAGCAGGCTGTTGGGGTCACTGGGGTCCTGCCAGGGATGGGCAGATGGGGGAAGGGGGAGATGGGGAGATGGGGGAAGGGGGAGATGGGGAGATGGGGGAAGGGGGAGATGGGGAGATGGGGGAAGGGGGGACGCAGCACAAAGAAACACCCAGAGTGTTGAGATTTGAACAAAGAGTGAAGGCAGCGGGGTGGTGGCCGAGGAGAAGCACGTCAGGTTGGAAGGATGGCAAGAGACGGTTGGGGTCACGGGGGTCCTGTTTTTGAGGCGCCTCAAAAAAGGGGTCCTGGCAGGGATGGGCAGATGGGGAGGGGAGTTGGAAAAAAGGGAAGTGGTTAGAAGGGCAAACTCCCTGACACGTTAGCAAACCCCCTACGTTGACACGTCAGCAAACCCCCTACCTTGACACATCCGCAATACCCCTACTTTGGCTCGTTACCAAAGCTTGCCTCGATAAAGGGAGTCACTCTGGTCTCTTCAATCGACGCTAAAACCACCGCCTCCCTAATTGAGTCTGCAGCCCAAACCAGCATGCACCGATACCATCCTAGAGATACACAGAGCAGTCATATACCTCATTAGACCTTACCTTGATAATTTTGAGACGTCTCAAAACGATACCAGCCTAGAGATACACAGACCAGTCATATACCTCATTAGACCTTACCTCGATAATTTTGAGACGTCTCAAAACGATACCAGCCTAGAGATACACGTATATATCAGACCTTACCTTGATAAAGGGAGTCATCCTAGCCTCTTCCATCGACGCCAATTCCACCGCCTCTATAATCGAGTCTGCCGCCCAGACTGTCTCCTGAGTGCCCCGCGCCGCCCCTCCCACGCCGCCCAGCTCGCCCACCGCGCCCCCTCCCCCCATGCTGGCCTCCGCCCCTTCGCCGCCCTCCTCGTCCTCGCCGCCTTCTGGGCGGCGTCCCTCGTTTGGTAACGCCACGGCCCGCGCCTCAAACATGGCTTCTAGCTGCTTCTCCCTTTCCTCCTGTTTAAAGGCAAGGACGGAAAAATACACCACGGGCCAGAAGGGGGGTAGAGAAGGGCTCGCAGGTGGTGGTGGAGGTGGTGGTGGGGGGGGAGGGCGAGTGCTCCCAGGTGGTGGTGGTGCTGGTGGTGGTGGTGGTGGTGGTGGTGGTGGTGGTGGTGGTGGTGGTGGTGGTGGTGGTGGTGGTGGGGCGAAGGGGAAGAAGGGCTCCTCGGTGTGCTGCCATCTCTGAGGCCGACTCAACCTCCTCCGTTGTCAAATCCCCCAACACAAACAAGTCCCCGTTCCCCCCCCTCCCTCGCCCCCCATTCCCCCTTAACCCTTCCATGGGTTGATGGATAAACCTCTTTCTCTCCCTCCCCCATCTCGTCTTTCGCTCCCCCGTGATATAAGATTTGTTTTGAGACGTCTCAAAACAAACCTTCTGTCACGCCTTTCCCCCTTAACCTTTCCATGGGGGGATGGATGAACCTCCTTTCCCTCTTAACCTTTCCATGGGGGGGATGGATGAACCTCCTTTCCCTCTTAACCTTTCCATGGGGGGGATGGATGAACCTCCTTTCCCTCTTAACCTTCTCCCCCTCCCCCATCCCCCCTTTCTCTTCCCCAACTGAAGAACATGAATAAAAAGTTACAACACAAACCTCCAGGAAGAAGGGCTCGTCCGTGCGCTGCCATCTGCGAATGGATCAACGTCGTCCCCCCCTGTGCCCCTCCCCTTTTTGAGGCGCCTCAAAAATAGACCCCTGTGCCCCTCCCCTCCCGCCCTCACCCTCCCTCCCTCTCTCTTCCCCTCCTGCAAAGCAAGCTGACCTCGAGGAAGAAGGGCTCGTCCGTGCGCTGCCATCTGCGGATGGAGCGGTCGTGGGAGCCTGACACCAGGAAGTCGCCCAGGGGGCTGATGGCCAGCGACCACACCTGCACAAGGTTGGGGAGGGGAGGGAGCAGGGGGAGCAGAGGGAGCAGGGGGAGCAGAGGGAGCAGGGGGGACTTTCGAGAGGGAGCTGAGACATTTATAGTTGTCTATTTTTGAGGCGCCTAAAAAATGGACTTCCGAGAGCGAGGTGAGACCCTTACAGTTGAAGTGAGAGACCGAAACCAGGAAGTAACGCAGGGGGCTGACCGCCAGCAACACGACCTTTTCTTGCAGCAATGGTGCTTGTGAGCATCCCAGTGGTAGTACCTACCTACCCACCCTCGAGAATCACTTACGGTCATCATGCAGGCGCTCTCACCTAAGCGTGGTGTCCTTCCAGTGTGTGCAGCAGTTGGAACTTGTCGGCATCCCAGTACCGCGCCCTGCCAGCCTAGAGAGTACCCCAATCCTCACCCTTGCAAATCACTAACTTCTGGTCAGCCTGCAGGCGGACTCACTCACCTCGGCGTGGTGCCCCTCCAGCGTGAGCAGCAGCTGGAACTTGTCTGCATCCCAATGGGCAGAGGGCACCTCCGTGTGTTTACCCTCACCACCGCCTCAAAAGCTCAGTCGACTCAAAAGCATGCGACCAGTCTCACCCACCTCGGCGTGGTGCCCTTCAAGTGTGAGCAGCAGCTGGAACTTGTCTGCATCCCAGTACCGCACTCTGCGGTCCTTGCCGCACGAGAAGAAGTAGTGCGTGCGCGGCACGAACTTAACGCACATCACACTGGGTGTTGGGGGAGGAGGGGGGAGGGGAGGGAGGAGAGGGGAACGGGGGAAAGAGGAAACTGAGCACACATAACTTCACCGTCCTTTACTCCTTGCCACACGAGAAGTAGTATGTGCGCGGGACGATTTTAACGCACATCACACTGTTGTGAGTTAGGGGGGGGGAAGGGAGAGGGAACAAAGCACCACACATCACACTCAAAAGAAGTAGTGCGTGCGAGGGACGATATTACCCATATTGAAACGTATACAGACGGGGAAGAGAATAAGGTCAAAAATAACACAACGCCATTTACTCCTTGCCACTTCACCTGCCCAAGTGAGCAAATAGAGTGGTGCCAGTCTCTGAAATCCACTTTTGAGGCGACTCAAAATTGTAGTTTTGCGACGTCTAAAAACAGCGGTGCCTGTCTCCGAAAATCCAGCCAGCCGTCATATTTTGACACTCCTGTCAGCCGAGCCCGACATAGCTGGAAGTTCCCCTCCTGGCCTGACCCTCCCACCACACCCGACCCACTGCGCCCTGGTGACCCACAATTTGCTTCCCAATGCTAAACAAACACCCACCTGTCCTGGTGAGCGAACAGCGACCGGTGGCAATCTCCAAAGTCCAAGCCCCATATCTTGACGCTCTTGTCTGCCGAGCCTGATACAGCGAGCTGCGAGTCCGAGGAGATGTCAAGGCAGATGGCTGGCAGCTTGTGGCCGTACAGCGAGAGGAAGAAGCGCAGGGAGTCGACGAAAAAGACCTGTGCGGTCAAGGGGGGGAGAGGGGGAGAGGATGGGTTGAGTGAAGAAGTGGGACATGAGACATTGAGGTAAGAGTGCAAGGGGCACTTGAAACCATGCCATGCCTTGAAGGGGCACTAAGAAAGTAGCGCTTATCAGTACGACTGTTAATTGGCATGGCATCGCACTCTCGCTCCTGGACTCCACCATCGCACTAGCGCTAATCAGTACCTTGATAGTGGAGTCCAGGAGCGAGAGTGCAAGGGGCACTTGAAACCATACCATGCCTTGAAGGGGCATTAAGAAAGTAGCGCTAATCAGTACCTTGATGGTGGAGTCCAGGAGCGAGAGTGCAATGTATCGGCCGTCCGGGCTAAACGCCAAACTTAGCACGTCGTCTGACATTTTAAGCGTGCGTGTGTTGACCACTGTTAAGTGCTTCTCGCCCCTTCCGGCTGCCAGAGCATCCTGCAGCAAGGAAAAGATTTTTTATTTTTGTTGGGAGGGAGACTTTTTAGAGTTTGTTAATAACAGGAAAAAAGCAGTTCAGGATATTAAGCAGAAGAATAGACACAAAATAGTCGACAGGCGAAGCAAAAAAAATGATATCGGAAGAATGTTAGGTTCAAATGTTGCAAACTGTTAAGTGCTTCTCGCCCCTTCCCACCTTGTCTGAATCGGTCCCCAAGAGCTGCATCTGATACTCCCAAAACTGACAACAGAAGAATCAGACGACACAGAAGAAACAAGGAGTTGATGAGGGGGATTGCAGAGGGATGGGGAAAGAGGAGGCCATGGCCATGGGGGAGAAGGGGAGGGGAGGGGGATGGGGAGTGGGGGAGGGCGAGGGAAGATAGATATAAGAAAACAACAGCAGTGATGAGAGCTCAAGTGAAACAGCAGCTCACACACACAAGTCACATGCGAGGCACAAGTGAATCCAATAGAACACCAAATAGGTGCCATTGTGTCAATACGTGGCAGCAACTGCTTGATGACACCTGTGAGTGTTAGTTCATAGAGTTCTTGTAAAAACTCTTGGAATTAGAATGGTGGTAACCAGTTTCGGCTCGAAGCCTTCTTCAGACCACAGAGTCCTAATGAAAACAAGCACTACTTATACGTCTAGAAGATGTCGCCCAGGATTCATCTCGCGCGGGGAAACCGTCGCGGAGAAAGTGGGGCCGCAACAAAAAACGAAATAAGCACAAACAGCAAAAAACTACTGTATTCTAGCACTTATGAGCAGAAACTAAAAAGTTCCCAATTCTCTTCGGCAGCCTCCATGCGATAATAACTCTCCTTGAAGCGAAGGTGTTGTGTGGCATTGTAACGAGGTGACTTCTGAGTCGGCTCAAAAGCAGCTCACACACACAAGTCACATGCGAGGCACAAGTGAAACGCTCCGTGATGAGATGAGATGAGAGGGCACACAACGCTATCAGGTACAACTCAATGGTGCCGCGACGGCACACACATGGTTGAGTGGTTTAATTTTGAGACGTCTCAAAACTAAACCAAATAACCATTGTGCCACGACGGCACACACGGCCTTGATGAGATGGCACACGTGGCCCACATGCACACACCAGAGCACACAACCAGATTGCGAGATCACACATATTCCATGCACACATCTTGCGTGAGGAGTCTATTTTTGAGGCGCCTCAAAAAATAGATTCCATGCACACATCTTGCGTGAGGAGTCTATTTTTGAGGCGCCTCAAAAAATAGATTCCATGCACACATCTTCACACACTCCCGCTTACCTTGACGCAGCCATCAGCGGAGGCAGTGGCGAACCCAGCGTTGTCCGCCAGGGGAGCCATGGCCCACACCGCCTTGAAGCGAGCCACCAGGCAAACACACATCACATGCACACACCCGACCCGAGCATACGAGCGATGCTAGCGGGCCACAATCTTAAGCACAACGCCCGCTCACCTTGACGCAGCCATCAGCAGAGGCAGTCGCAAAACCGGTGTTGTCAGCCAAAGGGGCCATGGCCCACACCGCCTTGTCGTGTGCCGCCTGTATCAGCGCCGTGCGCTCCGCGCTCGCCACTGAAAACACCTCCAAGTCTCCGGACTGAGTGCCTGAAATGGCCTGTGTGTGGGGGGAGGGGAAGAGGGCGGGTTGTGGAGAACGGGTGGTTTGTTGCTTGGATCAACGCTGTGCGTGCACTCAGCACTCTCTCGCCACTGAAAACACCTCGAGACCGCCTAACTGAGTGCCGAAAATGGCCTGCACGAGCGGAGAGCGGAGAATGGGGAGAGTGGAGGGGAGGGGGGAGAATGGGGAGAGGAGGCTATTTTTGAGGCGCCTGCAAAATGGCTCCGAGAATGGCATGCACAATCACAACAAGAGGGCGGAGGGGAGGGGGGAGAATGGGGAGAGGGGGAAGGTACGGGTTGTGTAAGTAGGCATCACAGGGGAAAAGACGCAGCAGAGGCAGGAAGGCAGCAGAGGAAGGAACGCAGCAGAAGCCACAGCCAGAGGCGAAGCACGAGAGGCCAGTTATTGGATAACGTCTCACAGTCTACCACTAGACATGGGCAAAAAAAATCGCATCGCATCGCATTTAATCGCGTTTTTGCGATTGCGGTTTTTTTTTTAATTATTGATTTATTTATTTTAAATTCATCGCGCGATGCGATGAATTGTTTTTCGCACGGCTTCATTTAAAACGCATTTTAATCGCGCCACAAAACGCGATTTAAATGCGATATGCGTTTTTTTTTTTTTTTTTTTTTTTTTTTTTTTCGGGGCGCAATGTAGCAATGAAACCCACTCTGAAACCCACTACGAAACCATACTATGTATTTTCACTCTAGCTTACAACTGCCCGTGATTCAATTTCCCGGCAGCCATTGTTTTTTCCTGGTTTTTGGGGTGTTTTTTCTTCTGTTTTAAAGCGCGATGCGATTTTAAATCGCATCGCGCGATTTAATTAAATAACGCATGCGGTTTTAATATTCATCGTGCGCAGAACGCGATGTGCGATTGTTTTTTTCCAGAAATTAAATCGCGCGATGCGATTTTAAATCGCATCGCATTTAATTAAATCGCCCCCCAATGCGATGCGATTTAAATCGCAACCGCATTTTGCCCATGTCTATCTACCACCCATCCCTCCCCTCCCCACCGCTTCCTCACATATCTATCACCAGGAGCGAAGAGGCAGCAGAGGCCATAGCCCGAGTCGAAGGAAGAAAGGCAGGCGCCGGTCACGGGGTTCCACACCTGGAAGAGAGGTGAAGAGAGGTGAAGAGAGGTGAAGAGAGGCGAAGAGAGGCAAAGAGAGGCGAAGAGAGGCGAAGAGAGGCGAAGAGAGGCGAAGTGAGGCAAAGAGAGACGAAGAGAGGCGAAGAGAGGCGAAGAGAGGCGAAGAGAGGCGAAGAGAGGCAAAGAGAGGCAAAGAGAGACGAAGAGAGGCGAAGAGAGGCGACGAGAGGCGAAGAGAGGCGAAGAGAGACGCAGAGAGGCGAAGAGAGGCGAAGAGAGGCGAAGAGAGGCAAAGAGAGGCAAAGAGAGGCAAAGAGAGGCGAAGAGAGGCGAAGAGAGGCGAAGAGAGGGTAAGAGTGAAGAGAGGACAAGTGGAAGTGGAGACTTAAGGGGCGTTTCAATTCAAAGTTTGAGTGAAGGAATTTCGACTCAAGCATTTTCCAGAGTCAAGACAGGCAAGGCCACATTAACAAACAGGCAAGCACCGCTCATGGGGTTTCGGTTGTGATTGCCACATCAACACAGTATCACATGACCAACTTGCCAGCCAGCCACCCACCTTTGCAGAGCCCTTAGAAACGGACAAAAGAAGCGAGCCATCTGAGGAGAGCGCCAACGAGCGGACGTCCGACCGGTGGCCGGCAGACTGGAGAGACGCCGCCCGGGTGCTGCTGTCGGCATGAATGGTGTGGATCTGGAGGGATGGGGGTAGAATTGGAAGAAAGGAGGAAGGAAGACCGTTGGGTTGGGTTGGGTTGCCTCAGGGCCGGCAGACTGAAGAGACGCCGCCCAGGTGCAGCTATTGGCATAAATGGTGTGGATCCGAAGGGCTGGGGGTAAAAGTGGGGGGAGGGAGGAAGGCAGACGGTTGGGTTGGGTTGGGTTGGCTCAGGCCCGGTGGACTGAAGAGCCGCCGCCCAGGTGCTGCTTTCAGCCTAAATGGTGTGTATCTGAAAAAGGGGGGAAGAGAGGAGGGGGGAAGAGAGGAGGGGGGAAGAGAGGAGGGGGGAAGAGAGGAGGGGGGAAGAGAGGAGGGGGGAAGAGAGGAGGGGGGGAGAGAGGAGGGGGGAAAGAGGGAAGAAAGAAAGAGGGAAGTAAGGAGGGAAGGATTGGGGAAGGAGGTTAGACTATGGCCTGTTCAGGGATTGAGGATACTACTCACACAATGGGATTGGGACACACACTTGCAAAGCTTCCAGCATGCAAGCCCTCCACACACACTCTCCCCGTGCCCACGCTTCCCAACCCTCCCTCCCACTCCGTCACTCTGCCCCCATCCACTGCCCACCCTCCTCGTCTCACCTCCACACTATTGTTGTGCAAGGCCAGCGCCAGTAAGGCCAGCGACAACGACGGCTCTGCTCCCCCGTTTGAGGCGCCTCAACGGTCCAAACCCACTGTCCCCGTCTGCCCTTGCCGTCCCCCCCTTCTCGTCTCACCTCCACGCTGTTGTTGTGGAGAACCAGCGCCAGCACCAGTGACGGCTCTGCTCCCCCGTTTGAGGCGCCTCAATGGTACAAATTCACAGAACCCCCTGGCTGTCCCACCTTGCTGGCCCCCCCCCTCCCCCCCCCCCCCCCCCCAAATATCGTCTCACCTCCACACTATTGTTGTGCAGGGCCAGCGCCAGTGACGGCTCTGCTCCCCCTTTCCCCCCTCCCCTCCCCCCTGCTCCCCCTGCTCCCGCTGCCTTGGGCGCAAACGCAATCGCCCTCACTCTGTGCTTCAGACGAATGGTAAACATCGAGGCAAACTCATCCGCCCCCTCTACAGTCACCTCCGCCCCTCCATCCCTCCGCTCCCCTCCCTCTCCCCCTTCCCCCACTCCTTCCCCTCCTCCCTCCGCCTCCTCCTCTACCCCACCCTCCCCCGTGCCCCCCTTCCCCTTTCCTTTCTCCACCTGTCTCCTTCTCCGCCTCTTGGCTTGCCTGATAGCCTCTCCAGGGGTGCGCACCCGGAACAACTCAATAGCTTTCCCTGCGCTTTGGCAGGCTAGCACCTTCCCTGGCCCGTCGAACCGCACACTTAAAGCCCGCTCTGCGCCCTGTCCCACGCCCACAACTCTCTGTATACTGCCGTGCGGTATAAGCACGTCCCACCGCCCTGCCACCCCCCCACCTCCTACTCCCCCCCCACTTGCTGCTCCTCCTTCTACCCCCCGCCCCGCTCCCCCTTCCCCTTCATCCCCCCTCTCCGCACCTCCCCTAGGTTCCCCCTCCCCCTCACTCAACACCCCCCTTTCCGCCCTGATTTGGAAGACCAGGACCTCAGGTTCGGTGCCGGCCGCGACGAGCCTGGGCAGGCTCGGGTGGACGGCTAGCGTCCAGAGCTCGCCCCTAGGCTCGGCAATGGTTTGGATGCAGTGGTGCAGGGCGAGGTCCCAGACCTTGATCTGGGCGTCCTTGCTGCAGCTGATGAGCAGCGACTGGTGCTGCACCAAGGAGCCCTCGAGAAAGGTCAGATCTGTGACCTGCAGGGAGGTGAGAGTGGAGAGGGGATTTGAGCATGTGGTGGTGCAGGGCGAGGTCCCAGACTTTAATCTGGGCGTCCTTGCTGCAACTGATGAGGAGCGACTGGTGCTGCACCAGTGATCCTTCCAGGAAGGAAAGGTCTGTGACCTGCAGGGAGTTGAGAGGGTTTAACGGGAGTGGAAGGAGGTAAGATAGTGGATGAGGCGGAAAACTCGGTCTAGCGACACGTAGGGTTAACAGGATGATTGACGGAATGATCAGGTTTAGCGGATGGCGGAGAAATTAGGTCACCACCCTCCTTACGCCGAATCCCCCCAAAACCCCAACCCCCGAAACCCGAAACCTTGCCTGATCCCTGTCCCCTCAGCCGCACGAGGCCCACTTTTTCCGCCACATCCCACACCCCCTGCACAAGCCCCCCTAAATTTTGGCATCTTCCTTTTCTCCCCAACCCCATCCCCCCGTTCCCCCCCAAAAAAAACGCCACCCTCTCTCCCCCCACCTAGAACCCGAAACCTTGCCTGACCCCTGTGTCCCCTCAGCCGCACGAGCCCCATTTCCCCGCCCAAGTCTCTTCCACTCCTCCCCTCAAATTCTGAACGTCATCCAACCCTCTCCCTCCCTGTCTCCGTTTTCCGCCCTTAAAACCCCAAACCTTGCCTGGTCTCTGTGCCCCCTCAGTCGCACGAGCCCCACTTCGCCCGCCACGTCCCACACCACGATATCCGCGTCCCTGCCGCCCGACGCCAGCAGCGCTCCGGCCGCGTTGTACCGCACCACCGCTACACCCGATCTGTGGCCGGCAAGGCTTGTCCTACACGTGCCATCCACCATGTTCCACACGCGCACCGTGCCGTCCGTGTACCCCGCCGCCACCTGCGTCGCGTCGGCCGGCGACGGGCAGATCGCCGTCACGTCCGCTACAGCTGGGACGGCATCATGCACGCTGCCGGCCGCGCTGGCGGCGCCGGCGCCGCCCTGGCTGTAGCCGGCGCCGGCAGGCTGTGGCGAGAGCTGCTGTAGCAGCGTGCCCTTGCGCACGTCCCATACGAGCAAGCGTTCGAGCGCGCCTGTTAAAATGGAGCGACCTGACTGGTCGAAACAGATGCTGCCGCAAGAAGGGGAGACTACGAGGCCGAATACCGCTTCCTGCTCATAGCGTAAGTAAGCCTTCACCATCGCGCCGCACTAATTGACGGCCGGGCTCCTAAATGAAATATTCCCTAGGTGTGCTCAACTGAACCCCATGAGCTGAGGGGTTTTGCTTCAGTCAAATACTCGTCACGGATAGGCTCAGTAAGCCAATTCTCCTGCCTAAACCATACAACCGTCAATCGTTACATTGGAAAGCCCGAAAGAGCTCTACTACCTACCACCATCCTTAGGTTGCAAAAACTAAGCCGCATCGATGAACATAGTTTGATGCATACTGTTCAAAAAGTTTCATGCAATTGATTAATGAGGAAATCAACATCCACAAACGATTTCGACAAGTTGAATGTTACTCCAAATAAGGTGGTTTCTCTACAATTTTCATGGACCACATAAAATTCCAGGAAATAAAATGTATAAATTTGATGACAGTATTTCATTTTGTTGAGGGTTCCCTCAACACATTAGGATGTGGAAACAAGCAAACTGGATTTAAACAGGAGCAAGGCGATTTTCTGAATACTGATAACATCATTCACAGATTGTAGAGAGTTCTCCAGAGCGAATATTGGCGCCAACGTTTGACTGCTGAACTCTCAAGGTTGTCAGAGCCGTGGTGTGAAGGTTCGGCCAATGAGTCACTCACGATCGTAGGATGAAGTAGCATCCTGTGTCTTTAATTGAAAACCGTTGGATCTTTTCGGGACTCCCAAGGCGTTGCCCTTACTCCCCTACTGCCTCCCCTCCCAGTCACCCTCATCTCTCTTCCCCTCACCCCGTAACCTTGTCATCAGGTAGCAGTTAGTTTTCCTCAGACATCACTCTTTTGATTCTCATCAGTCAGCTTTTCCGCTCCGGCTTCGAGTTCTTCAGACCTTTATCGTGCCGCAAAACGGAAATCTGAACATGGACAAAAATGGATTAGTCTGCTGGCGTGTGTCGCGAAGGGAGTTTTTTACTATCCTACTAATCAAGACAGCATCTCTAAGAGAACATCAGCACTAGCTGTGCGTTCACCGTTATGGATGGGGAAATGCTCTAGTTTAGGCACGAGCTGGTTGCCAGCCAGATTCGTTCTCTCACCGTACATGATCCCCTTTCACCGTCCCCGCGCTCCTGGCTCGCTTTTCACACTTCTGATGGACATAGTCACGCCCTTTTTGTCCATAGAACTGATGAATACGGTGACTGATACTTGTCGCTGGTGAGGGAACTTCAAGAGGTGCTCTAGATTCTAGCGACCGGATCCACCGGTGATAGGAACCTTGTTGCTGGCGCGTTAACGGAGTATGACGAACCTGACGTCGTCGTCCGCTCTCTCAAGCTCGAGGCGACCTAATAGATAACAGAACCATCCACCTGATCCTTATGGCGGACCTAGCACAGAATCGTCCACCTGATCCTTATCGCGGCGTGTCTGAGCACGAGTGATTAAAAACGCTCCGCGTGTTCTGCTCCTTTCGGCTGACCAGCCGACAGCGTCAGGAAGATTGACCTGACCAGCCGACAGCGTCAGGAAGCTTGACCTGACCAGCCGACAGCGTCAAGCTTGACCTGACCGCGTTTGAACCTGTTCGCGTCGAAGGCGACGGAAAAACGCGTCTGATGGCGACGGAAGAAAGGCTTCTCATGGCGTCGGAAATCGCGTGTCTCGGTACTAAGTCCATCCTGGTACCACTTCTCGGTACCGAGTCCGATCTGGTCGCGTGACACCGAAGATCCCGATGGAAATCGCGTCCGATGGCGAGGGCAATAATCGCTCATGTCCGATTGACGCGCGTGCCTCACTGACGCTGATTGCTGGTCGACGATGGCCGGTGGACGCTGATGGCTGGTGGACACTGATGCGTGATGGCAGTGGTGATACCACGACTCAAAGGCTGCAAGGATCAAACGAAGGGTACGTTGACGCAAACAGGGTGCGGGGGGGCTGCGTAGGCGTCTAGGAGGATAGCGCCGCCTAGCGAGTCAAGCTTCTACTAGTAGTATTTCTCCTTGCGTCCAGAGCTATAACATGCATATATCAACTCTGTTCTTCCTTTCTCCTCCGTTCCCCCCATCTCTCCTCTGCGTTTCCGTGAGCAAGGCACTGCGACTGGAGTCGGAGCGTGCGAGAGTCGTCGTCACAACACTACAGTGCAGCACCCGACACTACTGTGCAGCACCCGACACCACTGTGCAGCACCCGACACCACTGTGCAGCACCCGACACCACTGTGCAGCACCCGACACCACTGTGCAGCACCCGACACCACTGTGCAGCACCCGACACCACTGTGCAGCACCCGACACCACTGTGCAGCACCCGACACCACTGTGCAGCACCCGACACCACTGTGCAGCACCTGATGCGGCTGCAGCTCAGCGAGCTCTGCTGCCACGCCGAGGGTACGTGGCTGAAACAAGTGTGCTGGGGGGGACACGTAGGCGTCTAGGATAGCGCCGCCTAGCGAGTCAAGCTTCTAGTATTCTCAGCGTCCAGAGCTATCACATGCATATATCAACTCTGTTCTACTTTTCTCCTCCGTTCCTCTGTCTCTCTTCTGCGTTTCTGTGTGCAAGGCACTGCGACCTGGAGTCGAGGAGTGCGAGAGTCGCCGTCCCAACACCACTGTGCAGCAGATTTTGAGAAATTCTTGAGAATTATTTTTAAGTTCTCTCACATGGAGTCGCAGAGTGCAAGAGTCGTCTTCCCAACACCACTGTGCAGCACCTGATGCCGCTGGAGCCCGGCGCGCCCTGCTGCCACACAAGGGTACGTGGCTGAAACAAGGGTACTGGGGGTACGTGTAGGCGTCTAGGATAGCGCCGCCTAACGAGTCAAGCTTCTACTAATACTTTTTTCTCCCTGCGTCCCGAGCTATAACATGCATGTATCAACTCTGTTCTTCCTTTTCTCTCCTCCGTTCCGCCATCTCTCCTTTGCGTTTCCGTGTGCAAGGCACTGCGACCTGGAGTCAAAGAGTGCGAGACTCGTCATCCCAACACCACAGTGCAGCACCTGATTCCGCTGGAGCCCAGCGCCTACGCGCAGTGCTGTGCTGATGCCCAACAGGGCAGCCCAGCAGTGCAGCACCTGATTCCGCTGGAGCCCAGCGCGCCCTGCTGCCACGTCAAGGGTACGTGGCAGGAACAACTGTGCTGGTGGGGACGTGTTGTTGCCTATCGAGTCAATCTGCTTTCCTGTTTTATGTCTATTGTAAGCCTATTTGTTTACTTATGCGTCCTCTTCCTCTACTCTTCCCTCTCCCTGTTTCGTCTCCCCGCCTCCATCCCTCCGCGTCTGCAACTCTGTGCACGTGGTACTGTGATGGGGTCTTGCAGTGCAGTGTAGCCCAAGATAGCATTCTCTGAGTAGCTCCAGCATAGCATTTGCAAGGAGAGTTGATTCGCTTTCTGTGCAAATCTGTGCATTAAAACCCGCGGCCCAAATCGCGAGGCGCGGCCTTCAAACGCAGTGCGTTTGAAAGTTGCGTTTTCGTGGGTGTATTGGGGGGTAACGAGACTCTCGTCACTCAGGGGTGCCTTTCAAGTTCACTGCGGAAGGTAATTTGGAACACCAATTGCTGAGTGTTTTTCAACCGTCCAGTTTTTCCTGATTTTCATCTGATGTCGCGTAAGCCAAGCACTTCCCCCAGTCAGTCGAAAGGTAATCTCATCCGTCAAACTGTGTGTTTGTAAATCTGACGGTTCACGACCAGCATTGAATTTGCGAGAGTAAACGCCCTTGCGATTTTCCAGTGTATTTCGTACAGCATGAGGGTCAAAGTTCATACGCAGTGCGTTTGAACAATTTGGGCCGCGGATTTTAAGCATTGGATGCCCTGCCACACCTCCTCCAAGGGTACGTGGCTGAAACAAGGGTGCTGGGGGGGATGTGTAGGTGTCCAGGATAGCGCCGCCTAACGAGTCATACTCCTTACCAGTCATACTTCTTCTTCTGCGTCCATTCATATGCCTATGCGTGGACTACTCCTTACCTTTTTTCTGTCTTCCTCCCTTCCTTTCTCTCCGCTCTTCCACACCCCTCGGCGTTTCTGTGTGCAAGGTACTGCAATCTCGCCTTGCAGTGATTACCTTCGCTGCAGCAGCAGCAGCAGCTAACAGAGCATCTCCTCTCTTTCCAACAAGCGGCAGGCCTTTTGCAAGGGGAACGAGGGGAGCTTCGACAACCGGGCTTGGGCTGCCAGCCTGCCACAATCACATCAAGGTCGCGTGGCTGAAACAAGGGCCTTGGGGGGGTGTTTCGGCGTCTAAGATAGCGCCGCCTAGCGAGTCATGGTGCTTTCTTGTTCCGAGTCCGTTCGTATACGATTTCGTGTACTCATGCGCCCCTCTCTTCCCTCTCCCTCACCCACCCCCTCTCCTGCCCCCGCCCTGCTCGTTGATGTGCGTTTCTGTGTGCAAGGCACACGTTCGTGGGTGGAGAATAGGGGGATGGGCTGTGAGTTGCTGTGGGAATGGGATTCGTCAGCCATCGAATGGGCCATGCAGGGTTTCCTGTCTCAACAGATCAACCACCAGACGGCCTGCAACCACAAGAGCTGCACCAAGCAACCACAACAACTATGCCGAGGTACTTCGAAGCTTTGAGGGCATTAGGGGGGCGGGGGGGGGGATGGGGGAGGTTTCACCCAGGCGTCTAAGATGGCCTGCCTAGAGAGTAAAGCTGCTAGTTGCTTTGCGTCCGTTTCGAATTTGTGGAAGTACTGACCCCTCCCCTTCCCCTGTTGCCCTCCCCTGCTCCCTCTTTTCTCCCTACTCTCCCATATTCCCTGTTTCCCCTCCCCTCTCCTGCCCCTCCTGTGTTTTCTGTGTGCAAGGCACTGCAAACGGGCCCGGGAAGTGATTTTGAGCCCATAGGATGCCGCGAAGTCCGTTAGCCATTCTTGAAACAGCCAAGTGCCATGAGGATGTGTCAGCAGGGCAAGGGTACGTTTGGGGATAGAGGAGTTGGGGGGGTCTTGGTCACAGGACGCCTAGAGAGTCGAGTCACTGCTGCTGGTCGTGAATTGCATTGAACCTGTGCATGTGCTATGCTTCCCTCTTGTGTGTCTCCTTGCTTTTCATTCCCTCCCTCCC